CTTTTTTGTAGAGTCAACTGAGGGTTATAAAAAAGGTAATGAGCAAAATTTTGCTATCTCTCTTAGATTCCGAGATATTTGTCAAAAAATGGCCAAAAGTCAAAATCGACTTAACCCGGTTTACCGCTTCGCTACTGTATTATATTCTATAGTATACTATTTAAATTACTATTTTACTATTTACTATTTTTATTTTGATAATACATTTAGTACTCTATTACATATTAGTATTATCGTAATGTCTTTAACGTATGCTATCATCATTTATAAATAATCTAATGACACAATACGCCGAATAGATTGGCATGAAAAAATGTTAAAATGGATGTATTAAATATATAAAAAAACATGAAGCGGAAAATTCAATTCAATTTAGGGGATATTTAAGTGTAGGAGAGGCAAATAAGAGTCAAATAAGCGCATGTTAGCGCAAGCATTTGAGGAATTTTGTCTATTTCATTTCTAAATAATTAACATGAGTTGGTGGATTGAAATCTGTATCAAAGTGAAGGAAATAAATAAATAAATTGTGTAATTCGCGCAGTTTTAAGAGTAAAATAAAAAAAGAAAGTGGAAAAAATCACAACGGAACTGAACTCCACACAAGAGACAAAAATACGGTCTATGTGTCGCTCCCAACTGGGACGGATGTTCCAGTTTTAACTGCGTTAATTGTAGGCCGAAAAATACGAGTGAAAGAAATTCAAAAGTTTGGCGTCAAGCCAAAGATGAAAATTAGACACTTACCCCGAGATCGCTGATTGTTTAAGGCCTATGGGGCTGTGGTTATCCAGGGACTTTACGCAGCTGGGTAACGATACACTTTTCTTTGGCTTGAGACTCAACGACAACTGCGTGCTCTTGAAATTCGAATTTGGCGAGTACTTGTCACGGTTCGTCATGCGGCGGTTTTTCAGCGCTGGCGCGCGATATTTCATTCTCGCGTCGAGACGCTCTTTCGCCATGTTGGTCGCTGGACTCGACGGCATTCTCGTTACTCTGTCTTTGCACCAAGCCACATGACGATCGTATGCCTTTATTCCGAATTGACGGTTGCACGTTGGACATGTGCCCTTCTCGTTGGCGCGAGTTGGGGCTCCGGGAGCCACGATAGGGGCCAACGTGCGTGCTGGTGTCGTTTCAACCTGGTAAATTTGAATTTTCAAATTTAAATCTACGCGGAGAGAAAAATTCGATACAAATTACCAGAAAAAAACGCAAAAATTACGTTTCGAAACGTAATCGGCTGTGGGGACAACAAGTCGTTTCGTAATTTTTCCCCGAGTGAGAAATTTTACGGAACGGAACGTAGAAATGCGGATTACGTGAATTGTTCCGTAATTCTCACTGAATTTTTCTCTACGTGCACAGCTAATTTAGTCACCTCTTGATTAAAAAAAACAGATTCAAAAATTCCTTGAAAAATCAATGATTCTTTAACATGAAAACCTCAATTTTCTTGAATTTTCCAGACATAGTGACTGAAATTTCACGCTTTCATTGAAAAATCAATGATCTTTAACATCAAAAACCCAATTTTCTTGAATCTTCAAGATGACTGCGAAATTTATTGAACCTTTTCATTTGAAATTGAATTCAAACTCGCAACATCAAAAATCCAGATGACATTGTGACTGAAATTTCACGCTTTCACTGAAAAATCAATGATTCTTCAACATGAAAACCCGAATTTTCTTGAATTCTCAAGACGACTGCGAAATTTATTGAACCTTTTCATTTGAAATTGAATTCAAACGCGCGCCATCAAAAATCCATATGCCATAGTGACTGTAATTTCACAAAATTTCCAACACTGCAACAAAGATCTTAAACTCGATGCGATTGAACATAGAAGAACGAAGGAAAGTGCACCAATAAAATAAAACAAAATCAGACAGTCATCGGCGAATCTTATCGCGGGCACTCACGGATTCCCCGCGTGCAGCTCTGATAGTCTTGATGAAATCGTCGTGCGTCTGCTTCCACGAAGTGTTGTTGAGACTCCTCTCCTCGCTGTAATTCCGCTTCTTAATTTGCTTCGGTAGAAATTCCTCCAGTTCGGTCCCCTGCATCCGCTGTTTGGACGAGTCGAAGGGCTTTCGCTTCTTGGTGGCCGACCGCTCGCAGATTCTCGTGTGTTTCTCCAACGACTGTGGCTTGAACGTCCGTCCGCATATCGCGCACGGCAGCAGTACCGGCGGCTCATCTGTTGCCATTGAAATTAATCAAATGCCGATAATTATCACAGATCCAGACTAATTAATCGATTATTTTCACGGTGAGTTGATCACGAGGCGCACTCTCGCTATTATTCACAATTGCGAAATAATCGGTGGGTTGAAGCAACATTCATAGCACTGCGAAATGCGGGCAACAGCAGTTGACACATATTCCTGAGTTCAATTAACTCTCCCCGCGTGATTTAATTAACAATCAATCGCGAGTGTCCGATGCATAAATGAGATCTCCGGTGAATAGAGCTCTCGACTGGCGCGCGACTGAAACGAAGTGCATAACACGGGAGGAAGAGAAGGACGAAGAAAAAAAAGAATAATCTGGGTGAGGAGAGGCCTCCAGTAATTTCCACACTCGTGTGGAAGTCCCAGCATCGGCTTTTCGCTTTCGCCCCCGCGCGCATACGCTCCAGCCTACGTTTGCAACAAGCTTCCTTTTTTGGTTGTTCCACCGAGTCCCTCGTACCTAGCTTACGAGGCAAATGCGTCCCCCTCCGGTATTCTGGGTGATCTCGAAGTTCTCCCGACGAAATGTGTGTGCGACCTATCCGCGATACCCGTTCCCTTCCGTTTTCATCTCGCAAGTGGAGTATCGCCTTTTCTTTGTGATCCGCCCGTTATGGCCACGTGGGTCACCTTCGCGATTCCCGTACCCGGTTCTTTAATTATGGAGGCGGAGAGCGGACGGCTGCGCTCAGATCTGTTTATGTTTGTCCTTCGGCGGTTCGTTGAAGTTTTCGCTTTAGAATGAGTGCTCGCGGGGAATTATTGTAACTGGATTGCGAGTGGGCAACAGGTTCAACTGTACTGTTAGTGGGTTTTGCGGAAAAAAATAGTGATGAGGGTGAATCTACCCTGCGGTTTTTCACCTTTTGAATTTGGGGATGAAGTGCCCCTAAAGCACTTCGGGATTGAATGGCCCTCGTCGTTTTTTGTCTAATCAATCGATTCAGTAGCGAAGAGGTAAATCGGGTTGTCGATTTTTACTATTGACCAGTTTTCTTTGAATATCTCGGAATCTAAGCGCGATAGCAGAAGTTTTGTTAGAACCTTTTTTGTAGAGCTGATTGAGGGCTACAACAAATGTAATAACGAAAATTTTGATATCTCCCTTAGATTCGGAAATATTCATCAAAAACTCAACTGGGAAATGAGTCGACTTGAACCGTTTTACCACTTCGCTACTGATATGTAACTGTTCTTCACACGAAAGTCTTTCAATTAAATATAGAAGTATAGAATAGCTGAGCTCACATACATATTGCATTAACAATAATTTAAAATAAAAAATCAATGAATAAAAATGTAGAAAATAATAAAAATAACAGGGAAAATATTTGCAAAACACAATGTCTCTCAATTGATTATTGTCTGTTAATTGTACTAGAAATACACTGGCCCATGGTAAATTTCGTATCAAAGACGACTCTCATTTAAATTCATCATACACAGAAATTCGTTATCCACAGCACACATGAACATAAATTTTCACAAACAGAAAATATTAATTATTACTATTGGCCAGTTTTTAACGAATATCTCGGAATCTAAAAGAGCTAGAAATTTTTTTGTCATGACCTTTTTTGTAGGGTCAATTGAGGGTTGTAAAAAAGGTCATGAGGAAAATTTTGCTGTCTCTCTTAGATTTAGAGATATTCATAAAAAACCGACCAAAAATCAAAATCTACTCAACCCGCTTTACCGCTTCGCTATTGAATTAATCTCGGCAGTTCCCAGAAACATGTCGGCATTGAACAGGTGTTAATTACCATTTATTAGTCGTTAGATCTCGTTATAAACAGACGCGCGATAACAAAAACTTAGCGTATAATTAGTGACCGGTGAAAAACCGGCTCGACCCATTACCCAGTGAATCTCATCCGCAATCAACGCGTTTATCGCATGGAATTTTCCCGAAGGCTCACCTTTTTCAGTAATACTATTCAATTTACAAAAATCGGAGTCTATACATAAAGGTAAACATTTGGATTCGGTGGTGGTAGTCAAGGACGAAGTGGAAACTGCCGGTTTGTCCGCGGAGTTGGTCAAGGATACACCGCGCGGAGGAACCAAGGGCGATCTTTTGAATCCCGATCCCCCGACAGATTTTCTCGAGACACAGCACAGCATTTGGTGAGCGTTGTATGATCGCAACCCGACTGACGATTGAATCGCCGTGAGACCGATCGAGAATGAGCATAACCCACCACTTGGTATGCACGACTGATGCACAAGTCCTCAGCGCCTCCGTAATACCCCCGATTCCACGTGAAAGCGTTTATTTTCGTTGGGCTTTCGGCTCTCTCACTATTTTCACTACTTATTCCCTCGCTGAGGGACTCGAGACGAATGAGACTCAATATATTATTAGAAGGGGCTGTTAAACCCGAGTGCAACGGCGCTAGAAAAACATCAAGTAATTGACAGCCCAGAGATGTGACGCAAAACATGGGAAAAAAAATTACGGCGTTGAGGGTAATTTGGGGGATTTTTCCTCTCGATAACACCAAACATTCTCGAATTAATTTTCTTTTTCACATTTACACTCACCCTCGTAATCCGCCATGTTAGTTGTTGGGAGAAACACAAGTTGCCATGACGATTATTGCTAACATAACACAACGCGCACTCGGCTTGACACGGTTCGATCTAATAAAATCATGATTCAGAGGAGGTGTAGATATTTTTAAATATATTTTGAAAAATATATTTAAAAATATCTTAAATTGGCCCAATTAAAAATATAAAAATATATTTTGAAACTATACTATTGACAATAATAAAAAAAATAATAGAAATAATAATGGAAAAAATTATAATAATTATATTAATAATAATTAATATTAATATATTATTATTTATATTAATTATTATTACAATATATTAATAATAATTAATATTAATATATTGTAATAATAATTAATATTAATATATTATTATTTATATTAATTAATCATTATTGTTAATGATGATGTTATTATATTATTATTATTATATTATTAAAATATATATTTCATATATATTTTTTATATATTCATTATAAATTTGACAAATACATGGAATTGGCCCATATTATATTTTCTTTTTATAAATTTTAAATTAATTTGAAATAAAACGGATTGCTCCATTTTTTAGCCATTCGAAAATTCGCGGGTCGAATGCGCGTGCTGTATTTTCCACTTCACTCATCTATTTACGTTAATTTTAATTTTCCATGCTGTTGCGAAATTTATTGAATGGAAATCGACATACGAGGAGAGGCTCCAAGAGCTCATTTTTTGCTGTTGTAGTTCTGCTTGAGAGTCTAAATTTTTTTATTGCAAGTGGTGAAGATTTTCCTTCAAATATCGGGACTCGGCCGACTCGGCGAACGGGAGGTGGCGATAGCGGTCACAATGATATTGTCAGTGCGCGGCAGAGTCGTCAAGTCGATGGTAATTATTCATAAAATTTAATGCATCTGGAAATAGTCAGTCATTGCCATAAATCCTTGGGGGATTGCGCAACGTCATCTCAAAGTACAAAATGCTTATGAATATATGCATTGGAGCCGTGATCACTCGGGCGTTGGATATTTACATGGTGATTCTGTCGGCAGCGCATGCGCCGTGGGGCAAGTGATTGTTGCTGCGCGCGCAGACATTGTTGGAAATTTGAAATTGAATGTTGCAGGTGAGGAGCCTCGCCAGACTTTACGTATCGAACACCACGTTTGAGAGTGAGAAATACGTCGAGAGCAATGAAACAGATGGGGTAGGATTTTTTAAATCGATCTATTGCAGTCGTTTAATTTGATTGATTTGATTTGATTATCCCTCTGGGGTATTTAAATTAGCAATTAGCAATGCACGCATTAAAAAATTCAGAGGCTTGTTAGCTCAGTTGGCAAAAACACTTGTATTTTTCTTTTCCATCAAATTAAATTGAAATAAATATTGTGAATCAATATTATCGAGTCACGAGATTTGTTCACATCAGATTTTAATCTTTGATTACAGTGGAAATGTTGATTCTCACGTAAGACACTGGGTTAAATCCTGATTTTTAAACACTTCTTCTTTGAAAAACCAAAACGATAAAAACCAAAAACCAAACGATTGAATTGAGAAAAAAATTAGAATTCCGAATCTAGTCGAGTTATCTGCAATTTTTTGCAGTTCCCAATAATCTTTGAATTTAGGGTAAACTGCCCAGTAGATGGACGTTTGTTTTTTTGGCAATTGAAAAAAAAAAATCGAACAAAAAATCGCCATTCAGGGATTAAGAATCGCGACAGTTAGTGAAAATTCAAAGCAACAATTCGCATTTCAACATTTTTTTGCGTAATTTCCTATTCAAAAGTAACTCGTTCATCTATAGGGCACTGTCCATCTACTGGGTGCTTACCCCACCATAAGGGTAGAGCTACTTTAAACCGTTCGACCACTTCGCTACTGATTTTGTGCGCAGGTGAGGACGATAACGCTATGCCACGCGGCGACGAGAAATTCCCTTTCCCTGGAAATGATGAAGATCCTCCTCTGGAATTTAACCAGAGATATGGAGAGTGAGAGCTTGCGGTCGATCGTGATCTCCGCAGCTCCTGGCAAGGTCTTCTCAGCGGGACACAATCTCAAGGAGTTAGTAAGTTCAGTCGCAATAGAAAAGAAATTAACATCTGCTTCAATTTGCGCACATGGGTCATTACTCATCGTTAATTAAGGCTTCGGCTACAGGTAGTGAGCACCATAAAGAGGTCTTCCAGACCGCTGCAGCTCTGATGCAGACGATAGCAACTGTACCGGTTCCTGTGATCGCTGCAGTCGATGGTCTTGCGGCTGCCGCCGGTTGTCAACTTGTCAGCGCCTGTGATATCGTTATCTGCACTGAGCGGAGCAGTTTTTCCACTCCTGGGTATTACTCTCATTACGAGAGGGTAAATCAACCTGGGCTTGGAGCATTTAACCCTTTCTTGATGGCATTTTACCATTTTTTGTCTGGAGGATGGGAAATTCTTTAATTCTTTCGCTGGGAAAATCACACCGATAAATGATCGATGATCCACCAACCCCCAGCAAATAATTTATTTTGAAAATATATAATATCGGCCAATTCCATATATTTTTCAAAAATAAAAAATTATTTTTTAAATAATTTAAAAATAATTGACTAATTAATTTTTTTACGTTATTTTTCTCAATTTTTTTTATAAGAAAAATATATGAAATATATAAAAAATATATGAAATATATTTACATACATATATTTCAAAAAAATAATATGGGGAAATTGGGCCAATTCAAGATATTTTTAAATATCTTTTTCAAAATATGAATTTTTCCGAGTGAGAACGGCGGAAATAATAGAGGAGATCGGGTAAAAAGATACTTTTGCCCATTAAACGTTGGAAAAAGTCAAATGTCCATTTTGCCGTACCCCAAAAGGTTGAATACCCCAAACGGTTTGATTTTGCTTCGTCCATTTTTCCGCAATCAACATTAATTTCAGCTTCACGAGGTACTACTGATACTTTCAGGGCGAATTTCGGAATTTTTTGCTCAACACCAGGCATCCCCTTGGTTCGAAACGTGCCCAGAAAAGTAGCCGCTCACATGTTGTTCACGGGTCTTCCCATCTCCGCGCATGAAGCCTATAACTCTGGACTCGTTAGCAAAGTCGTTGCTAACGATCAACTAGGTAAATCCTACGGAATTGAAGTGAAAAGATTTGGAGAACTAACAACAACGTCGTTTTTATTTCTCCAAATCCCCTGATTCCCTTCACTTCAATCAAGAAGATTAAGAGCATCAGATCAATTCAGCAGCGAAAGCGTAAATCGAATTGAATCGATTTTGACCAGTGGCCAGTTTTTGACGAATATCTCGGAATCTAAAGGAGATGGAAAAATTTTTGTCCCGACCTTTTTTGTAGAGCCAATTGAGGGTTATAAAAAAGCTCATGAGAAAAATTTTGCCATCTCTCTTAGACTCCGAGATATTCATCAAAAACCGGCCAAAAGTCAAAAACGACTTGAACCGTTTCACCGCTTCGCTGCTGAATTGCAATGGAGACATTACAATAATTACAAATTGCAATAATTACAAATTATTCAAATAACCATTACTCATGCAGATGCGGAAGTGCAAAGAACCGCGGATTCAATAAATTCAAAAAGTCGCTCGGTCGTTCGTTTGGGGAAGAACTTTTTCTACGAACAACTGGAACTCGATGCATCCACCGCATACACCTACGGAACTGAGATAATGGTGGGAAACTTGCAATTGAAGGACGGACAGGAAGGCATCAACAGTTTTATTGGGAAAAGAAAACCCAAATGGAGCCACAAATTCGGCAGAGAAGACGATTAAAACAAACACGTGAAATCGATTAGACTGGATTGTCTTAAACTGAGAGAAAAACGACAAAGTTCTCAAACAAGTCTTACTTGTGCCGAAAAAATAGTTTTCTGAAAATCATCACAAAAGGATTTTTTTGTGCCAAGCATGCAGAGAGTGCGCCGGAATGAAAAATTTTGTGCCGAAAAATAGATTCAGTAGTTGAAAAAAAATTGCATTCTCTGTACACGCAAGAAATGTCGTATTTTGCTCCCGAAAAATCTTTGTTTTATGCGAAACAAGGGATGCAATCTCATATTAACGAGATTACAGAATCAAAGTAGCCTTGAAAGTGACCGAAATTATCTTGTAACGTCTGCAAAATGTTGAAACGACGAAACAAATGTTAAAAGATAATCGATAATTGAGTAAAAATAAATTATGTAAGAGGCATATTTATGTGCTCTAAATAGCCTGGCGATTAATGAGATTAAATTTTCGTACAAAGTCTCCAAATACATCTTCTTTGTATCCTTGATCATTGCAGCGAATTCTATCATTTTCGCCGGTATTTTTTCCACTGAGTGAAGCGTGTGCTTCAGATACGGTGGAATATTTTATCTGCGTTGTAGACTGTTAGCCTCGTCGTGAGATAACCCCAACCTATCCTCAGTCGTTTTTATTCTTTGTGGTATATCACTTTTCCAATAGCACATGGACCTCACACGGGGCAGCTTTGGTGCACTAATGAGAGCATTTGATTATCTCGAGTTTCTTTTTTATTCGGTCTGACCTTTCGTTGCGACCCATTTGAAAAATAAAATATTAGTTCATTGATTCATCCATGCGCTGAGGGAAAAAATTGCTGTCCAATAATACGGTTCTACAAAATACTGGATTATTCGGTGAAGAAAATGGGGCCTCAACTTGTAGATATCATCGCGCTCAATTCAAATCCGTTTGAAAAAATTTTGAAGTGTCTAAAAATGGATGAAATGAACAGTTTAAGAAATTTATTTTAAAAATTGATTGCAGCGTAATGTTTTCCAGAAAAATCATGATAGTGACTTCATCGCGATTAATGAATGAAACTCAGCGAAAGAAATTCCGAAACAGCAAAATTTCATTATTTTTTGAGACAATTCAGAAGCGAAGTGGTAAAACATTTCAAGACGACTTATCTCCCAGTTGTTTTTGACGAATATCTCGGAATCTAAAGGAGATAGCAAAATTTCCGTAATGACATCTGTTGTAGCTCTGAATCGGCTCTACAAAAAAGGTTTCAACAAAAATTTTGCCATCTCCCTTAGATTCCGAGATATTCAGTAAAAACCGGTCAGTAGTCAAAATTGACTTGTACCGTTTTACCACTTCACTCCTGAATTAAATTACCGGAAGTTGTCCGCGCGTCAATTTCAATTCCAATCGTAGTTGTGTTTAATTATAATCATATTCTTTCCCCGTCTACAATTAAATTAATTGGACACCAAACATATTTTTCGGGGGGACGTGATTTTTCTCACAGCGTGCGATCTATTTTCCCCGACCTTGATCCCCCCGTTGATTTTTTATCGCGGAGCTACGACCCGACGCGAGCTTCGTCACGTTCTCAAAATATGTGACGATTCCGTGATATCGCCGTTATTGTTCTGACAGTGCATTTTTGCGATTGCTAATTCAATTTGCTTTCTGAAAATTGGATCCCTTGATGAACGCCCACAGCCTACATAATCGTTTCACAAATTATTAATTCAGTACAACGATCGCTAGATTTCTTTCTTCTCCTAGTCGGTGGAGTATCATCTGTGCTATACCCCTGTGACGCACGAAGGAATGTTTCGACCGATCAACAAATTACTCAATGCGGATTCCAGTGTTGGTGTAAACATGCCACCGAAAAATATGAAAATTATCAAATTTATCGGCTCCCCGAGAGTCTCGCATGTGCGACCAGCAGACGAAATTGATTTCTCAACATTTTTCTTTCTTCAATTTTTCCTGGAAAGATTACTAGCCGATTGAGTTCATTATGAATTGATTAATTAGGGGGAGACTACCATGAGTTTTAATGAGATTTCTCGTACTTTGAAGATCGATTATATGTCCAAAAACGAATAATTAGTCCAAAAAACCTAATTGTTTATTGTTCTTTTACCCCAAACGTTTAAAACGTTGAAAATATACGCAATAACAATTACGAATTAGTCTGTTGAAATTCAACTCCTACACAACTAATTTCATTATTATTTTAATAAACAATTGCACCGTTCATGTAAAGTATCCCGGAAAATATTTCTGAAAGAATCGAAAATATATTTTTAATATTTTAAGGATAATTTTTCGGCCTATTCTACACGAATGGCCCAAATTTTTATACTAAACAATACGAAATTCGCTGTGTAGGAGTCGAATTTCAAAAAACAAATTCGTAATTGTTATTGTGCACAATATTTAAAAAATTTTGAACAAAAAACCTCTGTAGCTCAAAAATTGGAGGCCGTGGACTATTTTTAACATTTTAGGGATCTGCGGAGCAAACGAATAATAAACAATTAATTTTTTTGCACTAATTATTCGTTTTTAGACGTATAAATCCACTATCCCACGACTTTTAAAGCTCATAATAGTCTCCCCTTAAGGCGGAAAAACATTTTTTACGAATTTTTTTAAAGGATAAAATAATTGAATCATTTCAAAATTTTGACATCATTTTATTACAGTTCTGAAGCGTAGAAAAACAAGTGAACAGCCTGATTCACTTCATCATTTCAGTCCACTTTGAAATAAACATAATAGTCTCATAATAGTCTCCCCTTAAGGCGGAAAAACATTTTTTACGAATTTTTTTAAAGGATAAAATAATCGCATCATTTAAAAATTGTGACATCATTTTATTACAGTTCTGAAGCGTAGAAAAACAAGTGAACAGTCTGATTCACTTCGTCAATTATGAACAATCGCTTCGACGAAGAAGCGATCGTTCTCTTTCATTTCAGTCCACTTTGAAATAAAGTCCTAATAACGAAACCAATGTTGATAGTCAATAATCGGACTGTGAAGCAGTGTCACCCCTTCCCAAGAGCCCCGGCCGATTAAGTTGTATAAATGACCTCAGCCGAAGCCCGCCGCCATTCATCAGTACACTCTTGACAGTCTGATAACGCTCACCAGAAACCGAGGCTCAGTATATCGTGCGCAACCGAACAATTCCCCATAAAACAGGATTTTCACTATTTTATGATATTCCCAGTGAATACCACAGGTGTCTGTATGAGATTTGACAAGTTGGAGAAGCTCGAGGTGGTGATAAACAGGATCGAAGATTTTTTGGCGAAGGGAAGTGTCGACCTCGACTTCAAGATTAAGAAGTTTACGAAGAGAGAAATTTACGAACTGATCTTCGATCGTTGTGACGGTGCGTGCAACGGACTTTAATGTCTCTGGGGAGGGATCGGGCAACATGGACAGCTTTGAATTTTCTTTTAATATTCACAATGCAGAGATCAATTTATCAATTGCGCACCGTCCGGACGCAGCGCGAAGTGCAAGAGTTGTACTTTACGAGGGGAAAAAATTATCCCATTTCATCGATTATTTAATGAATTGCTCATATTCCGAACAAAGGCTAGTGTCCACATTGCTCGAGTCTCCCAGACAGTGAGAAAAAAAATTTCTAATATCTGAAACACATTTTCTTGAGACAAGTAATTTTTTGAAAATTGTTTAACTCGCGCAGGCATCGCAGCTCGCGTGGCCCGAGAAAGGTCTCATACTTTAAAATATTCTTGTACGCAAGTACGATTTTGTTGCAAATGAACTCGAAGAATTGCCGAAAAATATACTTGAGTTGAGTATAAAATATACTTGAATATACTTGATTTAAGTATATCATTCTTGATTCTAGTATATTTGATACTCAATTAATTCAATTATATTTTTTTCCTTGAAGTATTTATTGTTTTCATGATTTTTTAATTATGCAGTTTCAATACTACGATATGTAATATATTCCTGATATAATGCGCAACGATAGTGATGAATGAGAATTCGTTCGACTTCCGTAAACCGCAAACACTCCGAGACTTAAGCAATCGAAAATAATTCAGTTTCCCCGAGTTTTCGAGGAATATCTCCAAATCTAAGGGAGATGGCGAAATTTTCATCAATATCTTTTTTGCAGCTCTCAACGTGCTCCATAGAAAACATTATGACAAAAATTTTGCTATCTGCCTTGAATTCCGAGATATTCAATGAAAATTGATGAATAGTCAAAATCGAATTGAACCGTTTTGCCACGTCGCTACTGAATTTACTTCTCTCAAGTAAATATGGTCTACATATTAGGAAATTTTTCTCTCAGTGCAATTGTTTGGAACCACGCGGGAGTATTGTTAAGAGTTATCATTTGAATATCACGTTGACGTGCGTTTCAGGGTGTTGCAAAATGGCTGCTGTACCTCAGGGTGCTTTCGCCGTCCGTAAAGTGCGAGAAACTCACGAACGGAATATTTTATTTGTGAAAATGGAGAAGAAGGAAGGCGATGACCGAGATCACCGCGGCGGTGGCTTCAAGAAGAACTTGACGGAAGGTATTTCCACTTCACTACACAGACGAAAAATTTAATAGAAAAACCTATCGAATTCGTTAGAAAATTCTATTGAATTTCTATTGCACTGTTCTGTTAGTTTTTGGCCGATTCTATTGAGATATTTTATATAGAATTTTCTCGGCACAAATTTTCCAAGTTTTTTCGTTTGATTTTCTTGATGAGAAGAAAAGAAAAATAGAATGAGAAAAAATTAGAAGATTTGAGTTGAGCAAACTCTATAGAAAATATATGAAAAGAATAAGTTATATAGAAAAATCGAATTCTGTCAACTTTTTCTATTGAATTTTTTCTATTAAACACGTCAATAGAATCAGCCAAAAACAAATATAAAGTTTAATAGAAATTCAACAGAATTTTCCAACGAATTCGATAGATTTTTCTATTAAATTTTTTCGTGTGTGTAGGCGATGAGAAAATGTTAAAATTCACCACTGACTTTTACGCGCAGTTATAACCGTAACTCTAGTAGAAAATGAAATAGAAAATCAGGGGTAATTTTTAGAAAATGTTTCTCTCGTCCTCTACGTTTGTTTATTTATTTATTTATTTTTTCGGTACCAGGTCGTGAGCTGACTCCTCTAAAGTACAACAGTAAATTAATGAACAGCATTTGGGGACTTTACAACCGTTACTCAGTTCATAATTTCAAGAAGAATACTGATCCCGAGGGTGACGTTGAGGCGACGGTGTTCACGGCGGCCTGGGGAAGTTTTTTCGAGCGTGAAACTTCTGCAGCCGCGACTTCAGCCGAAGTCGTGGCCAATGCCGCCGCGAAACACTGACGAGGTGATGAGTCATCACCGAATTTCATTAGTTGAAAAACTAATGAGGACATGGAGGAGACGAGGGCAGTGCGTGGGATCAATAGCATCGGAATATTGGAATTTCTGTATTTTGCGATTGTTATCGGACCTGCTCGATGCACCTTGTCACATGTGATAATAAATTTTGATAAAAACAGGAAGTGGCGTTACGGATTTGAATTATTAAGGGCGAGTGGAGCAAAGTGGACACTTTTGACCCTAAGAAATGGCAATCACTCGTATTATTTGTTATTTATAATTTAGAGCAATTATCGGGGCAAATCATGTTACATAAAACTCGTGAGAAACAAATATACACGTGCAGAGAAAAATTCCGGTTAAAGAAGATAATGGACACTGATGAGTATCAGTATCAAGGAGAACGTGGTTTATATATTTACTAGACCTGTGCGCGCGCTTATCTATTCGTTCTGAAAATGGAGAAATGGAATTTATTAAAGTTCATATACTCATGGACGTTTTATAAATATTGTTAGTGATTTCATTAGTGTTAATGGTTTCAATCATTGTTAATGATTTGAAGAGAATTATGAGAATGAAGAGGGAAATCAATGAATAATTTTTAATCTTCAAGGTAAGTTTTGAGGGGATTGAGGGAGTCCTTAGGAACATGCTCCAATAGAAATTCAAAATTTTTTGAATTTTTCATGTTGGAAAAAAATTCATTTTGTGTGAAAATCGCAAAAAAAAAATTTTTTGCTGTCGCCATTTTTCCTAGAACGCTTCCACAACGGAATGTGTCCATCTGCGATTGTACACGACCCCCCCCCCCCCCCCCC